CTGCAACAGGGCTCGGAGTTTGGGTCAGTACAGGGTTACTTATCGAGCCTCAGCCGTACCTCACTATCCTGGTCACGACCAACTCACTCCGGAAAATTGCCTCAAAATTGTGAGAGTATTTGCTTCAACCAATCAAAAGCACTACCCAGATCTGGGTAGCAACACGCTCGCTACGTCATTTCATGTGGAAATCACTGGTGGAGTGGTGGTGTCGCGAAATGTCGGCTGTTTTCTCAAGCTGGCTAAATGTTAGTTTACGAATTGTAAAAGCTTTTTTAGGAGGAAGGGGCTATTTACTGACGGCAGACTCTGGCGCCTTACAACTGGAGCGTGGATGTATACTTATTTGAGGACGGAAATACGGAATATTCACCTTACTTTGCCGAGAAATGTTTACTTGAAAATTCCAAACATAAGAGAGCGGGATGCAATAACAAATTTTTATTTAGTTTAGTCAGTTTTCTTGTCTTTCAAAATTAGGCTTGTCTACAGTATACTTTTGTTTCCCCATTCCTGAAATGCTCCACCCCAATGCTGTGATTTTTCCAATAAAAAGTTTTTTGGATTTCGACTGTAAGTGTTCATTTTCTCTAGAGAAGCCGTTCGTTTTCATTTGCTCTGAAAAAAATTCTCGGAAAATTCAACTATAATGCTCGACTAATGCTGAGCTTTACTAAAATACTCGGAAATTGCTAGCATAATGTACAAACGCAGCCTATTCAAAATACGCTGTCAAACAGAGTAACAACAGAAAGCGTCTGAAATTTGGAGAACATTTGTAAACATGTTGTGCACTCAAGAAATTCAAAAGCTCCGTTAGAGCTGCCGGCAGGAAAGGGAAAACAAGAGCTTTAATTGATATGAAATCTTGAATGTTCATCCAAGTATAAAAAAAACAAGCGCTTAAAAACTCTCCTGATCGATGCCTCGCCTTATTACCAAACATCTGTCGTTAGCATAGATGCCATCAACTGATTGAGAGAGATCTGGAGATACGGCAAATATTTCCAGTTTTCGTTTGATGAGCTTGTTAGTTTCTATCGCGCACGACTCGGAAATGCTTAGCGAAAAATCGAATCAGAAAAAGTTACTTAAGATTATGACTATTGAGATTACGTGGGTTCTGTTAAGACGAGATCAGAAGTCGTGCTCATGTGAAAATCAATCTTCTCCTACAAGGACGCGGACACAGCCATGTGCGGAAGGCATTTCCGGTTTGAAATCCTCGTTTTTGGCCACTTATTCATAGACCGGAAACTAGTAATTTCCAGAGATAACATTGTGATTAATTGATTTTCATTCCCATCGCACTGATGGTTTATACACAATAAAGAGCATGATCCCTGAGCTAAAAAAAGATTGTTGATCATTGTTTTTTGCTTTGAAAGCAGTCTTTTGTGTCCTTTGTCAATAAAATCTGATACAACGCCGCAATGTCGAGTGATGCTCTTTGTTTCAATTTCCGGCTGCCGATAAAAAAGATAACGTCATGTTTCCGTTTCCGGTCAATTTCCGAAGGCTTGTAGTGATACGCTGTCACGTGCAGGAATTTTTTATCTTTTATATTTCAATCTGGCTGTTATTAAAGCCAGAATATCGTTTGAGTCGCTTTATTAAGTGCCTGGGCTAGTCTTTTGTAACAACCTTCGAATCTTTCTCAAAACACTGGCCAAAGGGCCATTTTTCAGCTTCTTACCAAGGTGACAGTTCTTGTAATTTTCCCGCCGGGTAATTTCCGGTAGAAAGCGAAGGGGTCACTTCATAATTATTTCACAGTACAATAACAGCGCTGACTTCTGTCTTGTTCTATTTGTTTCTTGTGGTTTCAGCTCTTGTGGGCGTAGGGCGGAAATATTAAGAGGTTGAAGCTTTGCGAGCTGGTAACATGTATTCAACCAACGAGATCAGTCATTCAGCTACAAACTGTGCCGAAAAACGACCACGTTTGGACGGTATTCCATTGAGTCACGAACCTCGAGTTTGGCGATACAGCCCAAGACCTGAAATGTACCCTTACCATACGGAGGCAACAGAACACAATAAATCAAACTCTAGGTAAGTTACTGACTTTGCTGGCGAGAAACATAAACAAAGGGCAAAAGATGTTTGTTTTACTCCTTTTTCTTAGCTCTCTTTCGTTTCAAACAACTGCTTTTTACTGTTCACTACGTGAGTCAGTAGTCTTTCACGCGAAACCGTTAAAATCTAAATCAAGGAAATGCTGGTTGTCTTGTCATTTTTGTGGATAAATTTAGCTCGCACGGTAGCGCTATTTCCGCTTCAATCGGCTTTCTTTGGTTTTCCCAAATCCGCCAAACCTGCCACGATTTCCTCTGGTATCGTCTTATGACTGAAAAGGAAAAATATTAGGCCGGTCGTTCAAACAATAACTGAACACGGAAACTGTTTCGCTCCGTCGCCGATCTCGCCAGTAGAAACAATTTTAACTCTTGGTTGTACTGGTTAGACTCCTCACCTGAAAAAAAAAACATCTCCGAAATTTGCTTATTCTTGGTTGAATATTGTCGTATTCGAGGTTTTTAAAACAGGTAAGGAGCGAATATCGTATTTGATCATTTTAAATTCCGCTTTTCTAAATACTTTCACTTAGTTACATTTTAAAAATTTGGTTAAGACTTTTTGAAGTCTTTTATTACTCAGGGTTTGTCTGTGGGAAGTTCGTTGTACATTCACTGAAATGCTGGTATACAAAAAACTCCCACTTTTAATTCAAACCTATATCTCAGCTCCTTGCTGTTAAAATACGTGTATTTATTATCTTGTTATATTCATTTTATTTTATGCGAGAGGAATTATCTGGAAACGCCTTCGGCTGCCGAAATTACCAGAGTACTGAATCGGCGAGTGAATTGGCGGATCGTTAAATATCTTATTTGTTCTACTGCTAGATGGGGAAAGTCAATACAGGCCAAATAAGGCAATTTTTTGAAATAAACTCAAGAAAACAATATTATCGTACTTAGCTTAGAAATTATTTCGTTTACTAGCTGTGAAAAAAGGCCTTGGAAGTTAAAAAGTGAATTAATTTCATGTTTCAAGTAGACTTACAGCCAAAAAAGGTCACTCGAAGCCTTAAAAAATGTCTCTAAAAACTGTAAAGTTCTTCTGTTTTTTAAAGTCATGGTAGCCCTACGAGTTCCCTATAGTGCGGTGTAACAATACTTGCGACAAATATGTAATTTATAAATCGCGTATATATCTATGTCTGCTTTTCCGGGATTATCCTATTTAATTAAGACATTCCCCATATGATTTTTACTCTCTTTATTTTTCGCCCCTTTCATTTGAAATGTCCGCAGTGTTAAGGTTAAGTTTTGACACGTGTGATGAATTAAACGCAGAGATTTTGCTAAAGTAATTAAAATATTCCCACAAGGAAGGAACGGCAAGTTTCGATTTTCGATTAGGGAGTAGCCATAAGCGTGACGTAAAACTGACGAAAAATCAATGGAATGCCATCTGCAGACATCTTGTTGTTTTGGGCTTCGATTAAAGGTTGAAAACATGCCATCTATCAATAGTCTCTGTCGATGTTTTAAGCTTATTTTGCAATATGACTCTTTGCTGACAAGTGCAGGTGACTAATAACACTTGAAACACTTAACAAACTTTATTGAAATTCCTTTTGTTGTTAAAAACATAAGGAATGTTCTTCAGTTACGTTTTCACTACAAACGACAGGAATATGCGTAAGTGTTTTGAATGTTTGAGCTATGGACGAAATTTTGTGGTGTAACCATTAAGTCTGATAGGCACTCTTCCAATGTCCGTTTTCTCTTTCAGTGGAATTTGGGATATTCGTCGAAATCTTAAAAAACACTTTTTTGGAGTGAAGGCTTATGTGTATATTTGCTATTAAAAAAAACGTTTTACTTTAAGTTGCAGTTTTTTCGTTACCGCTTACGAACATTGTCATGAAATGTTACTTTATATTGAACATAGAAACAGCGGTTCTATTGTTCTGTAGCTTTAGTTGTTAAATTTACTTTCAATATTTCGTACTTATCTAGCTCATTCTTCAAAATGCTCAAGAGAAGATATAATGAAAATCAAGCATCCTAGATTTTTCTCATAGCTTATTTTTTGGTCCCTCAAAAGGGCTGATCAACAAAACAAACAGGCTCTAGCAACCCACCATTTTTTACCGATAATTTGTCCGGAGATTTTCTTGGCTGTCAGATTTAACCAGAAACCAAAAACAGTTAAAGAAGAAGAGACCTGTATGTTTCCTGGCTAGACAAAAGCAAAAAGTTAGTTTTAAAATACTACCAGACAGATAGTATCAAAAGGTCAATAAAAGGAAAGAAGAGAATTTTAAGGGCGGGAATGTTCCATCTTTTCTCTATGAGATATCTTTGCAAGCTCATTTCAAGCTCTGAAATGCGTTTGCTTGTTAATGGTTTTAATTAGTGAATGCTGAGTTTGGGCCAAATTTGGAAGCTTATCTCACTGCTGTCTTGGTTTAGCTTGAAAGCACGTATTCCGCGAAGACGAAGTTCTAGTTTTACGTAACCTTAACCGCAAAAGGAAAGAGCCTTTTGTTTTCGAGTTCCTGTTTTGCTCGCACATATCATCACGTCTTCTAATTTTCGGCTTGGTTGCACTTTTATTCTTTGTTCGTTTCTTGGGGCGAATGAAGTCTGAAGTATCTAGGTAATTGCCTATTTTCTTTTCTGCGGGTTTAAAAATCCCTTCCTAGGGAAGATTGCCAGGTCACGATTTATGAAGATCAGAGAATTATAAGTAAAAAAGTTTACATGTAAAGGCCGTTTGGAATAATTGCTAGGTACTCTATCCTAATTCCCATCCTATTGTATTTAGTGAGCAACTCGAGAGCGGATTTTCAATAAACCTCTTTGTAGCTTTATAAGGTTTTGTTGCGTCAACGTTTCGTGACGTGGGCTATTTATATGCGATGAAACGAGCTATAAAGCATTTGCGTGATCTCCCACCCGTTTAGTTTTCCACAACGAATAGTGGGTAATCACAAGCGTGGAATTTGCTCTACTCGGCGGCGTATTTTAAAGGAAAATTGATCGATCTTTCTGAAAATGTCTTCGTCCAGGTATTAATAATTTTATGTCTAAGTTATAATTATACTTTAATAGTTCCGTCTTCACCTTGTTGTTCCGGAATTCCGCAATAGTTGTTGGTGAGGTGTATTCTTTATTTTGAACGGGGGGCTGTATTAGCTTTCCGGCAATCGAGAAATTTCGTCATATTTTTTTTAAAGGCTTTGTTTAGGGTTGTTTTTCACTGAACAAAACAGAATTAATAATATCGATCACTCTCAAGCAGCTGCAATCTTCATTCTTTCAGAATTTGACTTGTTCCCAAAATTGCTTTCTTTTAATTCTTAGCTTAATTGTCAGCCTTAATATTAATTAAAACTTGCTTTACACGAGCCGCCACTTGCTTGTGTATTTATCGATGTAATCCACAAAAAAGATAAAAGACCGTGACTTCCGAAATATTTGTTAACGTGAATCATGCAAAGAATACAAACAACTGCCGGCAGGAAATAATCTATTGAACATTTCCGGTTACACAGGGTGCATGCTAGTGCCTCATAAGCTCTTTATCACGCTATATATATACAGATATCTTTGCTTGGCGCGCGGTAGAAGTTAATATCCAGAGAAGAATTCGCATATTCGCGTCACTATTAACTGTTCATGGCTTGTGTTTTTCCAAGGTTGGACCCAACGCTGGCGTACCCCGTGCCTTTGCGACCGAGTGTTTTCCAACACGCTCGCTTTATCGACAAGATGCAGCCTGGTGTAGCGAGGATAAAACAAGAGAAGCATGAAGTTTACCACGATGAACCGTTAAGCGAAGGTATGTAGACTCGGGAGTATGGCATTACTGGGATTTTTTGTACTTTAAAAAAGTAAACGTTTCATGAAGAATTTAATTCCTTGGTCACTTCAACTAAGTTAACTGAATGATTTTTGTTTGTTTGAATGGCATAAAACCGATAAATTTTGCTGATTTTCCCTCGCAATGACGATGATGATGACGATATGTGAGGAATATGTAAAATAATCCGTCTGGCATCTTTCGAAACAGTTTTCATGCCTCACAGCAGTAGCAGTGAGTGTTACAGCAAGAGTGGTAGTTAATACTGCTTGTGTTTGACTTTGTTAATAACTCCCTCAACACTAACCCTATGCTTATATGTTCGCTGTTTGACCTATGCTAGCTTATTAAAGCATTGTTTATCCTCCCGGCTTTGAAGTACGTGATCTGGTTTTTTTCCTTTGCACTTTTGTTTCTGCTTCTCAGTAACCAGCGCAATTGGTGATCAGTTCTCGTCTCGTTAGAGTGGATTTCAACTGTCGCGTACATCTTTTAGGCGCGTAAATAATATAGAGGCAATGTATGCGAGGTGACGCGTAAAAATCTAAAAGTTGAGTGAGTAGTTGCAACGTTTTTTACTTTTACGTGCGACCTTCCACACACTGCCTCTATTTTTAGTGAGGACTACGCATATAAAAATGTGTATACTAAATTGAAGTGAAAATCATTTCATCAAAAATTTCAACTTTCACTGACTTGCGCACCCCTGAAAAATAGATAGTACTGTTGGACAGGCTACCTTAGAGGTTTTATTCCGATGATAATTACACTGATACCATAGAATTTTAGTGATCTACGGACTGAAAGAGTTAGCTGACAAACTACAGTATGTCACGTTTCTCAGTTTAACTCTGTCGTACATCATAAAAAATATTAAAAGTAACCGGATGCAGTGGCTGCTAAATCAAATTTCAAAGGGGACAACTCTGCTATGGACTATAATGTGTTGATCCAGTGCGTTTCTTTCTTTCTTTCTATCTATCTTTCTTTTTATTTTTTTCCAACAATGGTCTTTTCCAACATAGCAATGAAATTAGTACTGAAACCAATGTTTAATAAATATTATTATTATAACATAACAGTAAATTGTGACATCCCTACGCTGCCAGAAACGGCCGAATCGGAAATTGAATTTAAAGAAGTCTGCAAATTAAATTTTGTGAAATATGAAGATACAAATTAAGCTGAACAGTGTATAGCGAGCGAGGAAGCTCTCTAGAGGGCTCCTGGGTTGGGGGGGGGGGGGTTGGGGGAAGAAGACCCTAGAGAGCTCACTCAAAGACTAAGAAGCGCACCCCCAAAGGGTGATTTAAATTTTTACCGCCCGTTAAGAGATTTTTCCCATGGAGACTGAGGTTTTCTGCGCAGGACGTTGAAAGGACATTCGCTGACACTAACAGTCCTATTCCGGTCTACACATATCCAGCCTACTTATAAACATGTCTCCTGAGTCAGCCTGCACAAATACAGGCGTGGGGGGGGGGGGGGGGGGGGGGGGGGGGGGGGGGGGGGGGGGGGGGGGGGGGGTTGGGAGAAGAACACCTTAGAGAGCTCACTCAAAGACTAAGAAGCGCACTCCCAAAGAGTGATTTAAATTGTTACACGTTAAGAGATTTTTCACATGGAGACTGAGGTTTTCTGCGCATAACGTTGAAAGGACATTCGCTGACACTAACAGTCCTATTCCGGTCTACACATATCCAGCCTACTAATAAACATGTCTCCTAAGTCAGCCTGCAAATACAGCCGTCTCTCACCCCGCTCCTCCCCGCTAGGTCTGCTAAGGGCGACGTTTCGAAGGAGGCGAGGAGAGACATCTGCATTTGCAGGCCACTCCCGCGCTCGTAAACCATCAGTTACTGCGAAGGAGCTTGCAAGCCGTAGATTAGGAAACACTTAATTAACGTGCATTAAGACAGTGCTTCTCTTTTCCGCAGCAGATCCCAGGCGATGGAGCCGTGAGGACGTCTGCCGCTGGCTGCAGTGGATGTCTGAAGCTTTCAACCTCGGTAGTGTTAGACCTGACAGATTTCAAATGAACGGTAAAGCCCTCTGCTTGATGACCATGGACATGTTCCTGTACAGAGTGCCAGAAGGTGGGAACATTCTCTATCAGGATTTCCAGAGAAGACTAAGGAACGCTGTTGCTTTACAGAATTAAGCACGTCGAGTTCTTGACCGCTTTTTACCATGGAAAGATATGAGTGAATAATGGATTTGGATGGGAATTTTAGAAACTGAGATAACCTGAAGATAGAGAGGAGGGATAAAAGCTCACGATGAAAAGTGGAAACAAAAGTCAGAAGATTCAGTGGAGAATGCGTTAAAAAGTCGTCAGTGTGGGCAGACTGTACAAGAAAACTGCCCTTCCGAGCACACGTTGAAGCTCTATGCCTTATCCGGACTGGGAGGTTGTTGGAACTCTAAGTGCTAGTTTTTTGACGAAAGGAAGAGAGATAACAAAAATTATATTTAAATACATATCTTAATTTCCAAGAAGTTTAGAGTGAAAGATGTCTTTAGTAGAAATTTCTAGATGTAGTGCAATATTGTCGGATAGTAAAAGAGATTATTCAACACAAAGATTGTATTTAGAACATTCCGTGATTCTTTTTTCTTTAATATTTAATTATAATAGAGACATAACAGAAACAGAAAATGATGTATAAATACAATGTGCCAAGTAATGCCGAAAAATCGTAACATGCGCCCAAACGTGTTTGTGAATATGTGAATATTGTGAAAAAATAGTCATTCGCTAATGGATATATATGGAGAAATAAACGCATTAGAAACATCGATGTTGCTTCTAGTCTATTTCGTGAGTTGTTAAGCGCAATATAAACAAGTGTTTCCGGAAATATTCTTGACGAGCTGATATTTTTGGCTTTGCGAGCGTCATGAATGCGAGTGAAAATACCGCCACAGTTAATTCTCCGACTTTCACGCCTTTTTTTAAAAAAGCCGCCTATGTCTTCTGCACGCTATCAAAGCGCCCAATCACAGCCAAAAGTGCGACAACCGACTCGAAAATAAACGACGGATCATTCTGGAAAACTGTGCCTACATTTGTTGCGTCTACTTTTTTTGCACGTGCAATTTTTCTGCTGTTCTCAGCAATGACAACAAAATGTAACAGAAAGGTTTCGTAGAGAGGGTTTTGGCGCGATGGTTGTGCCTTTACAAATGGTCGAAAAACTTCGCAAAGTGTTCACGTTCCCTTAAATTCATTGGTACAAAAAACTGAAACTGAACTGAACAAGTTCAAAATAAGTTAAAAAGAGAGAAATATGTCTTCAAGAGTATAAAGTTCAAATTGGCCTGGAGTCGGTAGTTATAAATTAAATAAGCTTATCGAAACGTACTTCATCCTCTTTGCTAAGAAAGTAACATTAAAGCAATTGATACATCCTTTGTGGTCTGCATTAACGGGCTAGTCGGTGTCTCATCCGGCAGATTCAGTTCAGATCCAGGACATTGCTGCTTGGAATATATGGGGGCTCATGGAAACGTACGAAGTCCCTGAGGTGCTCGTTCGGTCGAAAAATGTCGATCGATGTCGAGACAGGTTTACTTTTAATGTGCTGTTTTGTTCATAACCTAGCCGCCTGCATCATACGGCATTTACGGAAGAAAGGTTTACAATGTAAAATACATACAAAATACGGGATGAAAGCAACTTCCAAGCAAAGTCAGGAGCGGTATCTTCTTGTGCTACTGACTGTAGTGTCCACTGATCAAAAGTCTTATAGCTGAGCGTGTATTAAATTGATTGAACTGAACTGTGCAGCTCTTTCCTGAGATACCCATTTGTTATGCTTAACATGCAGGTCGCTCTAATTTTNAAATTCATTGGTACAAAAAACTGAAACTGAACTGAACAAGTTCAAAATAAGTTAAAAAGAGAGAAATATGTCTTCAAGAGTATAAAGTTCAAATTGGCCTGGAGTCGGTAGTTATAAATTAAATAAGCTTATCGAAACGTACTTCATCCTCTTTGCTAAGAAAGTAACATTAAAGCAATTGATACATCCTTTGTGGTCTGCATTAACGGGCTAGTCGGTGTCTCATCCGGCAGATTCAGTTCAGATCCAGGACATTGCTGCTTGGAATATATGGGGGCTCATGGAAACGTACGAAGTCCCTGAGGTGCTCGTTCGGTCGAAAAATGTCGATCGATGTCGAGACAGGTTTACTTTTAATGTGCTGTTTTGTTCATAACCTAGCCGCCTGCATCATACGGCATTTACGGAAGAAAGGTTTACAATGTAAAATACATACAAAATACGGGATGAAAGCAACTTCCAAGCAAAGTCAGGAGCGGTATCTTCTTGTGCTACTGACTGTAGTGTCCACTGATCAAAAGTCTTATAGCTGAGCGTGTATTAAATTGATTGAACTGAACTGTGCAGCTCTTTCCTGAGATACCCATTTGTTATGCTTAACATGCAGGTCGCTCTAATTTTGGACTCTGGTTTGGATGAGTTCCGGTGGACACACACTAATTGAAGGAAGTGATCAATACTTTCCAATACTTAATTGGGCTATAAGGAGTCTATACGTTCGCTGGCTTACATATATTTCAGTGAGTCCGTTACAGCTCGCACTGGGCCACTGAACAAGAAGACTTGCTTTTGGAATTGTTTGCATTGTTTAGATTGTACAACTGAAGGTACTGCAACTTTTTAAAAATGCAAAAGAGATCAAGTGTGACCATTTCTGAATAACAGCCGAAACGATAACTTCTGAGCAGAATCCTAAAGTGTGACGACTCAATCACTGAATCACCCCAGCAAATGAAACAACTGAGCAGAGAGTACAGCTGGTACACTGAGACTATTTCTTTAATGCATAGATATCCCGACAAGGCCATAATATATCAGGGGTACCCAACGAGAATATAGTTCAAAACCACTTAAAAATAGCATTGTTAAACGTATTTTAGCATTTAAACGGTAGATATAGACATATATCCCCTAAAAAAATTTTCATCTGTTCGGATTTACTAGCTGAAAGTCTAGTGATTCGAAAATTATAGGAATCAAAACTGACCTTTCCGAAAATCTCAGCTAGAAAAAAGGTTCCCGAAAATTCTAGGTGATCCTTTTAGGTTAAAAATACGTTTAAAATCGGCAATTATACCAATTTTTTGGTGTTCGAAAATCCTAGGAGAGGCGGGCAAGCAAGAAATTTTACAACAAATGATCCGAAAATTCTAGATCTCAAATCGTCTTCCGAACAGATATTTTCCGAAAATTGACGTTGGGTGCCCCTGCTTGATGCTGCTTTCGCTGGACCGTGATGACGTCTATAAAATTTCAAAGTGAAATTCAATTAAACCGCAAAAACGTTCGAGCCTCCATTTCTGGATCATTAATTCCATCTAGATCCATCTCGACAGACTAGCACAACGTCACTCAACCGAGGATGTGGTTTCCTAATTCACCCCATAATTATCCTTTCCGTTTTGTTTTATAATCCATTCCGGTTGAAAACAGGAAATTGCAGAGAGAAGAAACGAAGCTTCAAGCAAAGGTGTATCAAGGACTCGGTGGGGGTGGGGAGGGGGGGGGTACTCCAGTATAATGGGGCTCTAGTTGTACAAGTACGTTCAGCAGAAAAGGGATACCTTTCGAAGGATTCAGGCAATTCAAAGGGCGGGAATTCAAGAGTAATAAAGCACCGTTCAAGCTGAGATCGCTTCAGTGATCTCAGATCTGAGGGCGCTTAATCAAAATGTTTTGAAAAGAAGGGCTTTATAACGGGTGTTTAATTTTAATTTATTTATAATACCAGGGTTATGGGCTCCTCATAATTAATACTGTTACACGAAAATTAAATTAAGACTCCTTTTTAAGTAATTTATTTCTATTAACCCTATCACTGCCAAATGTGGCCAAAGACAAATTTCGACCAGATTTCCAAATTTCGTTTTGTAAAATTTTGAAAAGCAAATAGCACC